AGAGAGAAAGAGAGAAAGAGAGAAAGAGAGAAAGAGAGAAAGAGAGAGAGAGAGAGAGAGGGAGAGGGAGAGAGAGGGAGAGAGAGGGAGAGAGAGGGAGAGAAGGGGTGGAGTGACTGGGTGGGTGGATGGGTGGGTGAGTGGGTGGGTGGGTGAGTGGGTGAGTGGTCCAGTGCGGAGTGCAAATGCACCCAGGTCGGAAACACAAACGTTGGTTGTTAAAATTTGGGCCTAGTTGTCGGCCCCAACACCTGCAGATGTATGAATGCACGGGTGCTAATACAACATGCGCTGGCAAACCAGATTCTCAAAGCTTGAGTTTTGCACGAGGTGCCCAATACAATCACGATGCATTGCTCAAATTTCCGCAGGATATTGAACTCTTTGAACCAGACACCAACAAAGTCGTTTGGCAAAAGTGAAACAATGATTATTTTTTGTTGGGTGGGGGTTCGGCAAACATGCGTAGTGAACATGAACGTTATTTTCTTCTAATTTGCAACCACGGCGGTGGATGACAGCCACATGGGAGACCCTGGTGCAAGCTGCTCAGCAAGGTGATGCAATTGCCGCTTTGGAACGACGCCAGCTCAGATGTAAGCGAAGAATTTCAACAAGCAGGTGAATAATTGCAATTGGCCGTTGTGTGCTTGAACATTTTGTGCTGGAACCAGTGGATGCTTGTTGCTTAGGCCTTGAGCCTTTGCTCCGTGATGTCAACCCGACATTGCGCTATGAAGGTCTTGAAGCGATGATTCGGATCGCCTTACTGGTTTATGCCCGAGCTGATCCTCAAGAGGCTGGACTTGGCGCCGTCACACGCATGTGTCATATTGTGACTAATGACTAATGTCCTGAGCGTTGCCCCGGTTGGAGTTTTCAAAAAAAAATGGCGTGAGAGGTGAGTGCTTGCTATGAAAAACTTCCGCGCCACTTCGCAGCAAGGCGCAGCGGTACAAAATCTAGTGGGCTACAGTTTTTGCAATGCTGGAAATTTGCAAAGACATCGCCAGCAGCAAGGATTAGAGCTGTCATCACTTTATGAATCATTGGCAGTCTTTAGACTTTTTAGACTTTAGACCAACACCCTTGTTTTTTCCACCCAGCATGGGGCCATGTGGCAATGCAACCCCCTGTGACCTCAACAAGCATCCTTTTTCGCAACATCTCCAGCAAAAGGGGTGCAGGTGCAGATATCGTTGTGGATGATTCAGAAACGCATGGAAACAGTTTCACAAGACACATGCATGTATGAACCCTTGCCATGGAAAAAACCCGTCAGCCATAAACCCTGTATTCTATGAGTGTTTGTAAAACTAGATCTGGTGATTGATGTCACGATTGTCATGACCTGCCAATCTCTCCCCGGCCAGGGTTGGAGATCCTGATCAGGATGTTCGCGCCTTGGCGTTAGAAGGCATCTCGTCGGTGATCAAGAGAGGAGACCATGAAACAGGCGCAGCTCGTAACAGCAGCCTGCTGGTCGTAAGAACAGTCTACTGGTGGACAGCCTGATCAGCTTTCCAAGACGTCCCAGTCTGATGTGAAGTCGGCTGCCATCTTTTTTTTTGGGGGGGGGCACGATTTGATAAATAATTCCGTTCAATGCTGTTTTGGCTCAGAAGGGGAGGCACTCTCAAAAGGTTTGCTGCTGTCAACTGCCGCGTGGCATTAGCAGCTGACTGCTAGACAACTGATTTTTAAACAACAGTTGCTGTCCCACAATGCCTTCCACTTTTTGCACCAGCTCTGGATCCAAAGCCGCAGAGAGGTTGCTCCATGATGTCATGTGCAATCACATGTGGCAGCAAGAGAGAAGATTGCAAATAGCATCAAACAACCCACGACTTTGACGATTTTCTGGCATCTGAGGACGCAAACCTCGCACATATTTGCCTCTGCTGGGTTGTGGTGGAGCGGTGGCCATCTCTCAGCTCTCCACCCCGGCCTTTACCGCAGCCCGATCGCCCGTGACTCCGGGTGAAGACATTGAGAATCCTTTGTCCCGGTCACTCAGAGGCCAGGAGTTTTGAACATATAGCAGGTAGCAGATGCAGCTGTGGAAACGTGACCTTGCACAGGAACAGGGCAAGAATCCCGTCAAGCTGGCCTGAACGCATGGACGCACATGGCTGAGTCTGACTGCAGTTCTTCAGGACACATAGGGAAATAGTGAGCACCAACACTGGTCACCTTAGTCACCTTTTTTCTTTTTCCGGCCCAGGTTTTTAAGTGCTGCGTCCGTGGCAGCCGGTGGAGCTGCGGCTGTGAAGTGTCGCAAGACCAGAGCAGCTTCAAGTCTGTGCCCTTAGGGTTTGGCAGCTGTAATTTCTTTCAAAGACAGGCACGTTCTACTCGCCATGTGATTCACATTAAGGTCCGACTTATCCATTGAAGACTATGACACGCCCTTGCCGTGTGGCACGTCGTGCTGTCGAGTCAGGAGACATTGGTGCCATGGCTCAGTTGCTGGTGGATGATCCTGACATTGCTGTGAAGGCGATGCATGCGGCATCTCAGACTGCCACAGAGGCGATGGGACACCTGATGTCGCTCTTGGGGCCCGTTCAGCCAGCAGCTGCTTCCGACTTGGCGGAGGCAGCAGAGTCTGGCACGAACCCGATGGAAGGACTTGCGAGTTTCTTCTTTGATCCGCGGCTGCAATGGGATGAGAATGGCAATGTGCTCTTGGATCCCCAGGGAAATCCCCTGCCAGACAACCTTTGGACGCAATTTGTGGCTTTCCAGGCCACGCTCATCAAGCGCTTGGATGAGGCAATCTCTGGCCTCGGAATTCCACAGTCTTTTGGTTTTGCAGTGGCCACCTACACGTTGCTCATTCGAACTTTGCTGTACCCATTTGTCAAGGGACAGTTGGAGACAACGGCCAAGATCCAGGTCTTGGCGCCTCGGGTCAATGAGCTCCGAGAAAAGTACAAGGACGATGAGGAGCGACTCCAACAAGAAGTGGGGCTCCTTTACATGGATTTGCAAGTGGACCCGCTTGGTGCCGTCTTCCCGCTATTGCTTCAGCTGCCAGTCTTCTGGGGCTTGTATCGGGCTATTCGCCGCCTTGCAATCGTTGAGTACCCCCATTTGAAGGAAGGATTCTTGTGGATTCCTTCTCTGTATGGGCCCAACTTCAAGGCTGATCCAAGCTTTGACTGGATCATGCAATGGGAGGGCCCGCTCATCAACCTGCACCCCAAGATTGGCTGGAGCGAATTCGGCATTTATGCCATCCTGCCTCTGGCCGTCTTCGCGTCATACCGCTCTGTGATGTCTGAGGCCCTTGAGGATGAGAATGCCCCGGCACTCTTGCAATTCACACCCTTCCTCTTGAGTTTTATTACCATTGAGCTCCCACAGGCAATGGGCATCTACATTGCTACGAACATTGCTTCATCCTTTGCACTCACCAGCTACACAAAGAATCAGATCTCCTCGCAGATTCCAGGCTACGAGGAATTTGTCAAGACGGGAGAGTGGCCGGAGGGAGTTGATGGAGAGAAAGTCTTGGAAAAAGCCTTTGGGGTGAAGCGCCTCACAGCTGAGGCTGAGCAGGACCCACAAAGTGTGCCAGAAGCAGTTTTTGCGAATCGTGCTGACTACATCCCCACCTTGTTGGAGAACGGCCGCAAGATCGACGAGCTGGATGACAAAGGAGCTAGTGACGGAGCCAGTGACAGCTGTATAGTGGTAGTCAAGCAATACGAAATTCCATTCTTTCTTACAGTCTTAGGCCAAGCATCAAGCAGTCCTGTTCAGTCTTTGTGCTTGCCTGCACCCTGAGGAATCCCTGCCAGCATGTACACTTTGGCCCTGAACAATCCCACACTGCTGGACAGGCTCTTTGAGCTCGGTGCTGACCCACGGGCGAAGGACAAGCGTGGCAACACCTTGTTGCATTACGCCTCCGGCTATGGGCGAGTGGAGTTTTTGCCTCTCTTGCTCGACAAGGGGCTCAAGGACCTCTTGGAGGCCACAAATGAGGATGGCCAGACATGCTTGGATGTGGCCCGAGTGAATCTGTCGCAGGAGAAGGTGGCAGATGAAGTTCGCCCAGTCATTGCCAAACTTGTTGAAGCAGGTGCTGTTGGCAAGCTGACGACAGTTGAAGATGAAGCACGCTTTGAGAAGGTTCGAGAAGACCGGATTGCTGAAGCGCAAGTCAAAAAAGCACGAGATGCACTGAAAGCTCTAGCCATGGCTGCTCAAAAACAGGAGCATGATGCCAAGCCTGTTGAAGATGAGGCCAAAACTGAAGAAGCAGAGGAGCTGCTGGATCAAAGAGTAAAGTCACCTCTCAATGCTTCTTTGGAGCGGGTGCGTTCACTGAGTGTGGAAGAGCTCAGAGAACGCATGGGTGATAAGATGTCTGAGGAGCAGCTTCAAAAGCTCTCGCAGAAGCTTTCCACCATGAGCCCCGAAGACTTGGCCAAATTCGCTGCAGGCTTGCCAACCGTCAAGGCTGAGGCAGAGCGCCAAAAAGAGGCAGAGGAAAAGCGAAGAGAAGAGCAGACAGAGAGGAAACGCGAAAGCTCCTCGGCAGCATATTTATGTAACTGTGTCAGTTTAATTCCTCGACGTTGCTTCAGTGTTCAAATTCATTTCATCATATGCCCCGCGAACTGCTAAGGCGTGGTTGTGGACTGAGAGCGATTTGTCGCAGCAATTCTTAACAAAAGACGATGCCGTGCTGCGGTTTTCAAAAAACCTCTTGGCTTTTGCTCACCGATCGGTTCTTGGAATTGGGGTTTGCGAGCTCGAACAATGCAATGTGGCAATGTGTTAGCATTTGCGAACGTGCAGGTGATCACGTTGTTGCTCACCTGAAGGACATCAAACATATCCGTTTGAGCACACCTTCTGAAAACAATTTGTACAGGCTGGCTCACTCACTTTCTTCAGTAAAGACGCTATTAGGGGCTCCTGGCATCGCTACTAGGAGCAAGGACGCTACGAGGGGCTCCTGGCATCCCTACTAGGAGCAAGGACGCTACTAGGGCCTCCTGGCATCGCTACTAGGAGCAAGGACGCTACTAGGGGCTCCTGG